CAAATATCTAAAATTAGATTTTATAGAAATGATCGACGTAAATTTTAGCAATGATCGACAAATGATCGACATATATACCGTTATGGTTTTAATAAAAATCTCTCGTGTTACGAAATTGAAGTAACAATATTTTCTTGATATTATTTTTAGTGCAATTTTTTATTGGGCGTGAAGTTATGCGCCCAACTTTACAAGAGCTTTGTTATACAAAATTTAATGTAAAATATATATAAAAATAGGAAGAAATAATGGAATTTATAGCATTTATTCATGAAACTAGAAACAAATTAACGTTTATCTACGATTATATCAGTTTGTTAAATATCGAATTTGGGTATATTATTATTATTCTTCAAAAGGACTTTTCAAATATGACATTTGAGAAAGTTACGACTTTCAAGTACACCGATTAATGAAATTGAATGCTCAAATGAAACTTTATCTGATTTTCGAACTAAAAAAAAAAAAGAGTTGTGAATAATTTTGACTTAACTAATCATATTTTACCAAGCGAAGCAAAAGCAAATGCTTCATTTAAGGCATTATTTGAAAAAACTTTGACATAAATAATTAATGGAATTTATTATTTTTGTGTAATCACCATAAACTAATCTGATAGGAAATATTTTCTCCCTAATGTCAGATAGACTGAATTAAATTCATTTCAGTTTCTTTGTTCAAATTAATTTTTGTTGTTCGAAAGGTTTTCCTTGAACACATTTTGTCCAATCTAAAGACGAATTTTTATTGTAATAAATAACACTTTATTTTTTATTGGCTGATTATAAATAACGTGATCTCAGATCACCTTTTAAAAAAAAAAAAATTTTTTTTTTCCTCTAATTTTTATCGATAGTTACGTAAAATTTTAATTTGGTCGCGTATTAGATAAGTAGCAACGACGAAACCAAAACGGCAAATATAGGTACGGATGTAATAAAAACGGTACTGCCTGAATTTTTACCTTTTGCGGGGAGTTGATATAAAGTTAGCTTTTACATCACTTTGGCATTAGAAACTTAAGTATTAGATTAGATTTAGATAACGTTACCAGTTTCACTTTCTGCTTTAAGATCTTTATTACCACCTTCTCTCAATTCCAAGTATGGTTTAGAATCCCCAATGCATTCTGGAACAGTTGTAATATTCAAATTTGGAACTGTTACAGCCTTATCAATAATGATTAACGCAGCCTCAACACTTTCCGGATATAGATCGTGTTCAAGGACAATGAATCCAGTATCCATTTTAGGGAATTTCTGCATCCAAGTTTCAAAGATATCTGTAACATAGCTAATTGGCTTAGGAGGAGTGGAGGTAAGAGTCCAATCGTTGCTATCAAATTCTGGAACCCAAAGGACAGCTGTAATGATAGGGATAATTGTTAATATTTAGAATTTATTGAGGTAAATTTTGAAAATCAAAAACATACTTGTCAGACCGCAAGCCCGTGCAATAGCACGAACACGATTATCAGTATCACCATATGGTGGGCGCATGTATACTGGAGTGACACCAATAACATCTTTAATAATCTAGAAAATACTATGTGTTAATCGTGAAGTTATTGCTAGAACAAATTATTTTAATTTATGGGAAAAAAACCTTGAGAGTCCATTTTAATTCAGCAACAATGGCTTCATTGGGAAGGGAGGTAAGTGCTGGATGAGACCAAGTGTGTACAGCAATATTATGACCTATAATTAATCAATTTTAGTTACATATACATGGTTGAAGTGAATTAAAATTTCTGAAGATTAAATTAGAAAATAATTATACCAGCATCATAAGCGGCTTTGAGGGTATCAGGATTCATTACTACACGACTTCCTACAACAAAAAACGTAGCTTTGAGTTTATGTTCATTCAGTTTACTTAATAATTTTGGAGTTGATGCTGATGGGCCATCATCATATGTTAATCCCCAATTGCCAATTTTTGGACATGTTTGAACATCATCATCGGCATTGAATTTTTGACAAGTCCAAGATCCTTGATTTGGTTGAATTACTGTTGGAGGACCGCATTGAGCCTGTGCGGTATTGATTTTACCACCATTTGATGATGGAAGATCTGGAACTTTACTTAAATCTAATTCTTTTAGCCATGTTTGAACTTGAGGATCATTGATATCTGGTAATTTATCAACAGCTGGATATGTCTCATCTTTTCCATTGATTTTTACAGTTACACCTGGAGCGGCTGGTGCAGCAGGAGCTTGAGGACTCGCATTAACTACATAAAAAGTTGCCACAACTGTTGTAATGATAGGAATTATTCTCATTTTGATTAAGTTTGTTGTAAATAAATAAATGAATAAGGAATGAATATATAACTTTAAAGAGGTTTAAAAGCAAAATTAAGAAAGGGTAAGGGGAATTTTGATAATAGTGAGGCTATGGATGTGGTGGATAAGGCCTGAATGATTTTGGGTGGGCCTTAAAAGGAGGTAGATGAAGGAAAAAGTCGAATAAAAGAATGAATAACCGTGATCAAGTAAGTGAAAGTTTTATATTTTCAAGTAAATCGAAAAAAGAATAAAAAATTATTAGACCATCGCATTGGTACCTTTTTATATATTTATAAAATTTCTCGGCCTGTATGAACATCATATTAATGCGCATACGTCTGTAATGCGCAGATGTGAGTTAACCAATCCATATTTAATCAAGGTTCGCTCGTAGACGCTGCAACGACCCGAATTTTACATGTTACACAAAATGTTAGCCAACCAAAACGCGTATTTCTTTTTTTTAATATATGTCGCATTAATTTTTGAATGTGTCTGTAACCAATGAAGTATTAATTATTCGAAATTAATTAATTTTAACACGACAAATCCGATTTCAACATTGAACTCGGGCTAATATTTTAACAGCTAGGACGATTTCAAAATCAAACTTTCATTTTATCATAGTATTCCGTCATAGGGATAAAATTATTTGTTACAATTTGATTATTTTGAATAGTAATGATGTCGATTTTTTTTTTTTATTGATCTGATTATTGATTATAATTAAAAGTTCTGTAACAAGTAATAAGGAAAAAAATATATTTATTTGAGGAATGATATAATCCAATCTATTACCTAACTGAGAGTCATGTTTATATGTTTATATGTAAATATAAATAGATGTATCGAAAAAATGAAATCTCAATATTTCACACGTTCCCACTGTTACACTGCTACAACCAAATTATCTATCTCCGATAAGACATCTTTTAGATACATCTTTCAAATATAAAGACTAGTATAACTTTATCTATTCCAATTTATCGATTTTTTATCATAATAATTTAAGTAATTATGCATGAACGAGAGCATTCGGTCGATACAATTCGTAGAAGTAGCCTAGTATTTGGTTCCCTTGAGAAGCTTCAGAAATTGATGGTGGCAAACCGTGGTGTAAGCTTTATTTATTTCTCATTCATTTATAATTAATACCAAAAAAAAAACTGTTCAATTCAGTAATTCTGAACAATAATACATTAGGAGATAGCCATTCGAGTTTTTCGAACAGCTCATGAAAATTCTATGAGAACGGTTGCAATTTTTAGTTATGAAGATCGATTATCGATGCATAGATATAAAGCCGATGAAGCTTATCAAATCGGTTCACCAAATCTTTATACACCTGTGGGAGCTTATTTAGCTCAAGATGAAATAATTCGTATTGCAAAATCACGTGGTGTATCGATGATACATCCAGGTTATGGATTTCTAGCTGAAAATTCAGAATTTGCCAGAAAGGTTGAAGATTCCGGGATTATTTTCGTTGGTCCTACACCTGAAGTTATTGAGAAAATGGGCGATAAAACCAAAGCAAGACAAATTGGTAAGTTCCGCTTAAATCATGAAGTTTAAAAAGATTTGTTTCAAAATTCAGATGTTGATTAACCTGATTTGATGATTGAAGCTATTCAGTGCGGAGTTCCTGTAGTACCAGGTACCCCAGGTCCGATTTCCACAATAGCAGAAGTAGAAAACTTTATAGCTGAACATGGATATCCAATCATTATTAAAGCTGCGATGGGTGGTGGGGGTCGTGGTATGAGAGTTGTTCGTAATGCGGAATCACTCACCGACTCTTTTGAACGTGCAAAATCTGAAGCTCTGTCCGCTTTTGGAGACGGCACAGTTTTCTTGGAGCGATTTTTGGATAAGCCAAGGCACATTGAAGTTCAATTATTAGCGGACTGTGCCGGAAATGTTATACATTTATATGAACGTGATTGTTCTGTACAACGACGTCATCAAAAGGTAGTTGAAGTGGCCCCGGCAGTCAACCTTGATGTAAGGAACTTTAAAATTATTCATAAATTATTTTGTGTCAATAATATATCATAAAATTAAGAGTCATTACCCGAATATCTGTTAGGTAACGGTTCGTGATGCTATCCTTAATGATGCTGTCAAACTCGCCAAAGCTGTGCATTATCGAAATGCAGGTACAGCCGAATTCTTAGTCGATTTGAAGGATAGACATTACTTCATTGAGATTAATCCTCGAATTCAAGTCGAACATACAATAACAGGTATATCCCCTTTTTTTAAAAAAAAATGTAGTGCCTTGAATCTAACTTTTTATTCGTATAATGTAGAGGAAATTACTGGTATCGATATAGTTGCCGCACAAATCAATCTTGCTGGCGGAAAACTTCTTGCAGATCTTAATTTAACACAAGAACGCATTTTAGCACGAGGTCACGCAATTCAATGTCGTATTACCACTGAAGATCCATCTCAAAATTTTCAACCAGATACGGGAAAAATTGAGGTCTATAGATCAGCCGGTGGAAATGGTATTCGTTTGGATGGCGGTTCAGGTTATGTTGGTGCTGTTATAACACCACATTATGATTCATTATTAGTAAAGTGTACATGTTGGGGTGAATCTTATGAAGTTGCAAGACGTAAAATTCTTCGAGGCTTGGTAGAATTTAGGATTCGTGGTGTAAAAACCAACATTCCTTTTCTACAACGATTGCTCACTCATGATATTTTTATAAGTGGAGAAGCATGGACAACTTTCATTGATGATACACCGGATCTCTTTAGATTAGTTGGTAGTAAAAATCGGGCCCAAAAAGTACTAAAATACTTGGGAGATATTGTCGTCAACGGAAGTAGTATTAAGGGACAAATTGTAAGAATTATTTATTAAATATCAGATTTCCTTCCTTATTATCATTTGCATCTTTTAACATTTGAGTTAAATATGTTTTAGGGTGAGCCTATTTTTAAGGGAGATATTCATTTTCCAACCATTCGTTCTTTGGCTGGTCCAGATCCTGTTGATTTATGTATTCCTCCTGAACATGGGTGGAGACACGTCTTTATTGAAAAAGGACCAGAGGCTTTTGCTAAAGCTGTACGTGAATATAATGGTGTACTGATCATGGATACAACCTGGAGAGATGCCCATCAAAGTTTATTGGCCACTAAAGTCAGGACAATTGGTATGATTATGTTTATAGCTAACCATCCATCAAAACAATATTTTAATTCTTTTTTATTCAATCTATCAGATATTTTGAATATTGCTTCTCATACTGCACATGCTCTTGCTAATGCATATTCTTTGGAGATGTGGGGAGGTGCAACTTTTGATGTTGCATTGAGGTTTTTATATGAAGATCCCTGGGACCGATTGGTTAGTTTTGTGATTAAATTTTTTATTGTCGAATATCATTTTTCGAAAATTTGACAATCAATTTATATGATTTTTTAGGCTAAATTACGCGCTCTAGTTCCAAACATACCCTTTCAAATGTTGCTTCGCGGTGCCAACGCTGTAGGTTACACCTCATACCCAGATAATATTATATATGACTTTTGCAAAAAAGCAAAAGACCATGGGATGGATGTATTTCGTATCTTTGATTCACTTAATTATATTGAAAATATGAAACTAGGCATTGATGCAGTCAAAAAGGCCGGTGGCATAATTGAAGCGGCCATTTGTTATACCGGCGATGTTTCCAATCCCAACAAGAAAAAGCATAATTTACAATATTATCTAGATTTAACTGAACAGTTGGTAAAGTTGGGAATACACGTATTAGGTATTAAAGATATGGCAGGTTTATTGAAACCTGAAGCAGCAAAACTTTTAATAAGTTCTATCAGACAAAAGTGGCCTGATCTGCCTATACATGTACATACACACGATACCGCGGGTACTGGTGTTGCTAGTATGTTAGCAGCCGCAGCAGCCGGCGCTGATGTTATTGACTTGGCTATCGATAGTATGTCTGGAACAACCTCTCAACCTTCAATGGGTGCGGTAGTGTCTGCGTTAGAGCATACTGATCTTGGCACGGGCATTAGGTTAGAAGATGTGCATGCGTTAAATACATATTGGGAACAGGCACGTAAATTATATAGTTGTTTTGAAGCTGGAGTCTTGAGTGCTGATTCGTCAGTTTATGAGCACGAAATGCCTGGAGGTCAATATACAAACCTCATGTTTCAATCATCACAATTGGGACTCGGAAAGAAATGGAAAGAAATTAAGAAAGCCTATACCGAATCCAACAAACTATGTGGTGATATAGTTAAAGTTACGCCAAGTTCAAAGGTCATAGGAGATCTAGCACAATTTATGGTTTCTAATCAATTATCCTACCAAGATGTAAGTTGTTCCCCATTATGTCTTATATATTATGTCGATCAATTAACGTAATATGTTTTTTTTTTATTTTTTAATTTTTTTTTTTTTTGCATATCTAGGTAATTGCAAAGGCAAAAACTCTGTCATTCCCAACTTCAGTTGTGGAATTTTTCCAAGGATATTTAGGTCAACCATATGGAGGATTTCCCGAACCACTTCGCTCAGATGTAAGTATTGCAAATTATTTACTTTCTGGTTTATTATTCATTTCTGATGAACATTTAACTTCTTTGCTACAATTAGATTATTCGTGACCTTCCAAGACTTGATGGTCGACCAGGTGCTTCAATGAAACCAGTGGATTTGCTTGGACTCAAAAAAGAATTAGTTGCTAAATATGGAAGGTCAATTCGAGATGTGGACGTTACATCTGCTGCCATATATCCTAAAGTATTTGCGGAATACCGTGAAATCTTTGAGAAATATGGTGACGTTTCAGTTATACCCACTAGATATTTCTTATCAAAACCTGAAATTGGCGAAGAATTTAGCATAGAACTTGAAGAAGGTGTTACGCTTATTATTAAATACTTGGCTGTTGGACCTCTAAACCCGACTACTGGTAGACGCGAAGTTTTCTTTGAATTAAATGGAGAAGCACGGGTTGTCGGAGTATTAGATACAAGTGCACGTACGTGAAATAAAAATAACGTTTCGCTGTTAAATTTTAGCCAAGTGAATGGAATGTTAACACCTTTTTTTTTCCCGTATTTAGCCGTTGAACATGTGCAGCGAGTAAAAGCTGATCCTGGAAATCCCGGAGAAATTGGTGCACCAATGTCCGGTGTGGTAATTGAAGTGAGAGCACAAGGTTGGTTAAAAATTTATTTAAATTTATTTTTATTTTCTTTATTAAATCATTTTTTGTTTAATGATTATATCGTCCTTTTTTAAAAAATAAACAGAGGGAGCAGAGATTAAAACTGGTGATCCAATTTGTGTACTTTCAGCAATGAAGATGGAAACTATAGTTTCATCACCGGTTTCTGGAAAGGTTGAACATGTTGCAGTTAAAGACAGTGATTCATTAAATTCGGGAGATCTTATTATTAGAATAGTAAAAGATTAAGGTTATAATAGGTCTAATAATTTATAGTTTTTACTATGTCTATTTGTAAATTTATATGTAACATAATTTATACATTCTTAATTCTTACTACGAGTAAATAAAATTTCAATCATTTTTTATTGCTTTTACCCAGTTACGTTTTTTTTTATTTTGAGATGATTTTTTTCAACACATTTTTAGTAAATTGAGGCAAAACAAAAGCGGCTTCATGAACTTGAGCATTATAATATCTACATAAATTTTCTTCTTCTTCTTCCGTCCATTTCCTTAAAGGTTTTTTCAAATTAATAGAAGGATCATTACTACATAACATGAAACCAATTTGACCTGAAGGATATGTTGGAATTGTAGTGAAGGCATATTCCACTACAGGGAATAATCTATGACAATATGTTTGTACTTCTGAGATTAAATGTAAATGAAGCCATTGACATTCGCCTAATATTTGATCGGTGAGACGTTTGTTTAGATAGTTGATGAAGGTTAAAAGAGATCAATTGGAATTACAAAAAGAAAGGATTTACCTTGAGTTGAAATGATTCCACAAGGACGTAACGCATTTTTCATTAATTCAAAATATCGTTCCTGAAATAATGATTCGGCAGGACCTAAATCAAAAAAAAAAATGACTAAATTCCCAAATTTTCTTTTTAGGAAAAAAAATTGATACATAACGTACCAACAGGATCCGAAGCATCAGTAATTATAACATCGAAAGAATTGACTTTATCCTCTAGAAAGGGAAATCCATCACCAATATGTATTATAACTTTTGGATCATCAAATCCAATTGCCATTTTCGGTAAATATTTTTTTGATAAACGAATGACAGACTAACGAAAAAAGATACGATGATTCTACTATATTAGACAAATAAATAAAAATAATAAATATAATTTATCAATTCATAATACCTCATCGATTTCACATAAGACGACTTCTTTAACCGATTTATGTTTAACGATTTCACGAAGTACGCCACCATCCCCGCCTCCAATTACGAGTACCTAAAAAATCATTATCGTAATAAGTATCACGTGTTTAGTATAATGAAACCGAAGATCGCTAGCTTACTTTTTCTGGATTTGGATGACTGTTCATTGGAAGATGAGTAATCATCTCTTGATATCTAATTTTTTTTTAAAATTTATCATGCGTGAATTTTGTGCATCTAAGCGTGTTAATTATTAAGAAAGGAAGAACTTACGAAAATTCATCACGTTCAGTGCATTGAATTACTCCATCTAACACCAGCACAGTACCGTACGTTTCTGATTTAAAAACCAAGACATCTTGATACAAAGAATTTTCATGACATAAAATTTCTTCAACTTTTAAACACATGGCTATAGAAATCAAAATCAATCAGCGTAAACAAAAAAATAGTTGAATGAATCGAAAAGAGGAGTTGATTATCCATCAAAAATAAAAAAAATAACATACCTTGACCGGGCCAAAGCGTGGGTTTCTCACGAAACCAGCCATCTAATAATAATTCATCGATTCAATCAATAAACTAATTTCGATTTCGAGTTATCTGATTTTTCATACCTTGAATTTGTGGGTGAGTTAATGTCTCCGACATGATTTGAGTAAAGTAAAAAAAAAATTTTTTTTCTTTTAACAGTATTTATATTAATAATGTAAATCTAGATGATGATCAATTTAATCATTATATTACACACGTATAAATTACATAGTTACAGTTGATGTCAATCCTTTAATTAAGATGTAGAAATCAGTGTGTCATGATAATCTACATTCACGTTACTTACTACACACATTCATTTCTTCAAGTCACGACTAGCATTCAAATTTGACACGCTTATGTCAATTCGGTCATATGGAGTAGCATGTTTTAATCCCGTTAAATCCTGCAAGATTAATAATTATGTAAGATTTAAATTTAAATTGATTCAAGTAACACTTATACAAAAGTAGCAATTTTTTTATCTTTACACTATTCAAGAAATAAATTTACGGTTCCACAAAAAAAAAGGGAATTACTCCTTGGAGAAATTTTTTTTTTAGTCTGCAAATCTGTATTCTTTTTTTTTTACCATAAAAAGGGTTGTTTATTAAGGAGAGGAAAAAAAATGGGGAGTTAATCGAGGGGGGTGTGAAAAGTGATTTCCTCGAAAACATGAACGCATCATATGACATTGATGTAACTTGTACATATGTTACATTTTGTACATTTTGTGCATTTTTTTGATACTGCAATACCCTTTTAAATACTTGTCATACAACCAAATAATTGTTGTTTCAACCAATTAAATCTATTTCACAAAAGGGTATAAAACTTAATTAAAAAGGATTCTTTTTTTTTTTAAAAAAAAAAAAACGGTTTTAAGTTTGAAAAGATTCTCCCGGTGCATAATTAATTCCCTTTTGGAGATCCTAAGAATCCTTTTTTTTTCTTCATTTTCTTATTTTTTATTTTATTTTATTTTTTTTTTAGATGGAATTTTAAATCATATATATTTATATATATATATATATATATCTAGAGGGAAAAGAAAAAAAAAATTTTTTTTTTTTGTGCATTAATCTTCGAGAAACTTTATTTTTATTATTATTTTTATTATTATTTTTTGTACAAATATTGTTCCGGGCAAAAAAATCATGTCACCGATTACCCGAAGTAAAACGAGTACAATCCGTTGGAGACATCCAGATTTTCCAACATTTCAAGATTTAGAAGCAGCATATAAGATAGCATATCCGAAAATTCAAGAGTATGCAAAAGAATTACTAGAGATGAAATTAGAAGAGGAAGATATTAGACAAAATTTTTATAATCCAACTTCACCAGAATATTGGTTCATAAATAATACAGAGGCATTAGAAGAAGTGGTTTATTATAAAATGAAAAAGAGATTGATTTTACGTTATAAAGAACAATTGATCGCGGCAGGTGTTGATTTATCGGAATATAGTGATACCGAAAGTGAATTCGGTGGGGAAGTGCCACCCACTTTAGAGGAATATATTGAGGAAGGGGGAAACATTAGTGAGGATCAAGTTGAACCAATTTTCTCATCAATCTCGTCAACTTCTTCTTCATCCTATCGTTCATCATCATCATCATCATCATCATCATCAATTTCATCAAGTTCACGAACTCCCCCAACTTCATTAAGTTCTTTTCAAAGTTCTCATGTAACAAATTTTAGATTCACATCAACCCTGATGAAAAAGGATGAATCAAACACAACGTCGGTTCTTGATGGATATGATGGTAGTAATATCATTACTAATCGAAATCGTAATATTCGAGAAGTGGCCATGGTTCATCATTCTCATCATCATGGAAGGGCACAATTTGTTAATAATATATTAAGATCAATTAATTGTCATTTTCCAATGCATTGGATTACGAACCTAACAACACAAAAATTAGTATTTTATTTATTTTGTTTATTAATCTCAATCTCGATGATCGGTTATTTATTCGGATTCATAACAAATAATTCTCAGGAATATATTTTATCTCAGCGTCAAAAAAACCTACTTAAAGGTCAATTACAGGTTGCGGTGAAAGCTCAAGTAAAGGAATTTATTGATCAGGAAATTTCTCGGGCATCAAAAGGATTAATGCAAAATACTGAAGAAGATAATGATTTCATTGGATTCGTACGCACGCAATTAAATGAAGTGTTTCAAGAACAATTGGAAAAATTCATGGACATTGGATCGGGTGCGGATTTTGCCTTAATTACCGGAGGGGCAAGAATAATCCATAAATTAACTTCAAAGAATTATGAATTAAGATCAATTAAACCATATCAAAAATTATTGAGATTAGGTGGATTCTCCAATAATGTCATCAAGAGTAAAATTCCCGAGACCGTTATTTCACCAAATATTAACGTGGGGGAATGTTGGTGCTTTAATGGTACAAGTGGACAAATCACCATTAAGTTATCTAGAAGTATCATATTCACTCATATCATATATCATCACATTAGCAGAGATGTTTCAATTGATCCTATATTATCCGCTCCAAAAGAATTTGAATTATGGGGTTTACCAACATCCATTTCGACGACGGGAGAAAATGAGAATTCCTTGGAAATATTTAAGAATGATTATAACGTTTTTCTTGGAAAATATCAATATGATATTAACGGACTTCCAAAGCAAAAATTTATTTTACCTGATTCTATTGCCAAATCCCAATCAAATAAACGTATCAGTGCTGTCATGATGAAAGTTCTCAATAATCATGAGAATCCCCAATTCACTTGTTTATATCGTCTACAAATTCACGGCGTTATGCCTCATTAATAATAATTTAGTTTTGTATATATAAAACTTTTTAGATAAGTGAATTACTTCATTATTGTTATTATTTATTTATTTTGTATATTTTATTACATTTTGCAAGAATTCAGTTTTAAAATTTTTCCTCCTCTTTCCTTTTTTTTTTTTGTAAATAAAATCGTTTTTTTACACGTGACACGATCAATAATCCAATTCCTATTTTTAAAAGAAAATGGTTCCCTTTTTTTTTTTTTTTTTACAAATGCAAAAGGTGGTACAACCTTAAAAAACCTGTACGAATGTATGAAGAATAACAGATTAAGTTTAGTATTCATTCTAAACAAAGATAAGAAAGGGGAAGGGATTTAAAGGGTCCCTTTAACACTTCATTTGAAAAAAAAAAAAAAACGAGAAAATGCAGTGACACGTTTCATATTATTTATATAAATATAAATTATATAGGTGAAAAAAATCTAAAAAAAGAATTTTTACACATTTATAAGGTTTTTGCTTGAATAAACGAAGAGATGCACATATGTTAAATATGCAATATTACAACATTTAAATAATTTTTTCTTGTCAGTCAAACAAAAATGATTGACAAGAATGTATCAATTTTAAGCTAGGTAAGGAGTTAATTATCCGCCCACAGACAGGTTTTTTTTTTTTTTTTTTTTCTTTTTCTCCCGGAAATCCTATTTTTTTTTCCTATACTAGTTAACTTATTTAAAATAATTTTTTTGAAATTTTTTTTTTTCTTTTGAACAAGGAAATAATAATTATAACAATTATATATATATGCACATAAAGCAAAGTGCCTCAATTTTTTTTTTTTTTTTTGACACGTCTCTTTCACAACAGATTAAATTTTTTTGAATAATAAATTAATCAACATATGTTTAATAAATATTCATAAAATTCATTAAAAAACGCAACAATCAAATCATTAAAAATTATAAAATTTTAAATTATATCTAATCCTGTTTAAAATTTTATATCAGCACTTCTATAACTACTTGCTGTGGAAAATTACTTTTCTATAAACACTTCGAAAGTACATTCTAACAAGCCGTAAAATTTTATCACTACTTTTTATATAATTCAGTTCATAATGGTACAAAAAAAAGAACCAAAACCTGAACAAAATATTTATTCACCATATTATTACCCAAATTTCTCTCGTTATAACTTTCCTTCAAAAATTGGTGGTGATGAAGAACAATATACTGAACCAAAATTTTCCTTTCCACATTGGGATGACGAAGTACAAGCTTATAAACCACCTCGTCGAAGAAGGGCTTCTTCTCCTTTAACTTGCACTACTGAAGATATCGAATATTTTAACAATAAAGCCAACTTAGCTAATGATACAACGGCGGCACCTTCAGATGTTGAAGATGATGTAAGCGAGACAGTTTGTGAAGACATTCAAAAAGATATAGATTTAGCACGTAAGGATCAAAAAACCGATTATGATCAATTTCGAAAGACATATGCTACATTTCATGATGATATACGTGCTCTACAACGAGAAATTGAAGCAATCGAAGCTAGCTGTTTGAAAAATGGGTTGGATTTAAAAGGTGATGGACCAACCATAAATGATGACGGTAGTGAAATTTGTTACAATCCTACGGAATCCGATACTTGCAACTTTACTGGCTCGTCTATAACTTATGAAATACAAGGATGTGGTCGTTTATCTTCGGCTACTGCTGCGGCAACCACTCGTGGCTCGATCCCAAGGAAACGTAGTTCTCCTTCTATATTATATAAGGACAAAGTAGCGAAACAGCAAGAAGAACAGCAAAATAGAGAAAATATATCGGGAAACTTTAATGATAATAATTCAAATAATCGTAGATGTTTAGGTATAGAGGATGGCTGGACGCAGGAAAGAGTTCATCAGAATGAATGGATTCGCTGTTAACATTTAAAGGGTAGATTTTAGCATTAAACATTAATTAATTATTTGTAGGCGAAATTATGAAACAATAGATTTGTTTTTTTTTCGTTAATAATATATATATTTTTTTTTATTAATGATACATTTTTTTATATATGTATGTATATTCTTTCCTCTATCTATTACTTTGTATATAAAAAACATCTCTTTTTTTTTTGGCTTCTTTTCAAGTAAATATAAATTCCTTGTTTTCATATTATCATTTCATTAAACAATTAAAAAACTTTACATTTAAAAACCACTTTATACATATATATATATATATAATATATCATCGTTAATGTTACATCATATCATTTATTCTTTTTTATTTTTATTGTTTTTTTTTTTTTATTTTCTTTAATAGTATTTTTTGTTTGTTTGTTTTAGTATTTGGGTTTTTTTTATTGTATATAAAAAATTGGGGTTTTTTCTTTACTACTTTTTTTAATTAAAGCAAATATTTGTCTAATTATATCAAAATTTCAATAAATTATAAATATTACAATGATTAATTATTAATTATTTATATTTGAATTAATATATAAAAACTTGATAATTTTTATTAAAATGATAATTATAATTTGTCTAATTAATTTATAGTACATTTATTAAATATTCTAAAAATAAGAAATTTAATATATATTATTACATAATCAAAATATTATAATTAATTTTAAAATTAAAAATCAACAATATATATATATATATTAATATAGTTTAACCAATTATTTTATTAAAATAAAAAATAAAAAAAATTACATGTAATAAAAAACAAAACAAAATAATGACTATCTAAAAATCTATACTAAATATTAGTTACCTTCTGACAATAGAAATGTAAAAATAAACCTATTAATCTATTATTATCAATTTTTTTCTTTAGACTTAAAAAAACTAATCCAATAACTACTAAAATCATCAAGAAAAGAAAAAAAAAACATCAGAATTGATTTAAAATCCTATTTACTTATATTTATTTATTAGGATAAGTTGTAATTATCCCTTAGACTGTATAGCAGGCAAATTTGCTCACGAAATTAAAAAAAAGTGTTAATTACTTTATAAAATATTAAATATTAATTTTAGTAATATCATTATTATAGTTTAATATATTTTTTATTAACTTTATTAACAAAGATTTTAAGTTTTAAAAAGGTTCTTAAAATAATTTAATTTTAAAATTAAGTTTCAAAAAAATTTTTATATCATATAGTCCCGAAAATAAGCATTCCTGATTATAATATTATTTGAAAATAAGTACCTTTTGAGAAAATATATAAAAAATAAATTTACAATTAAGATCACATAATTATATTGTTATCTTACAATATTAACAACTGAAAATTAGTATTAACGTAAGATTAACAAAGATTTAGCTTTAAGATTTATAACACAAGATTTATGAAGAGCTTCTGAAGGTTTATCAATTAAATATATTGAAAGACAAAGTGTAATTATAGTTTGAGTAACTTAGAGTTTTATTAAATTAAAGAATTATTACAAGTGTATTTATTTGCATACAAGTGTATTTAGTAATTATCTTATTAGCGATAAAACTAAGTAAATTCTTTAGGTCATGATTATGTTTCCCCTTTTTAATAAAATTCTAAAATTACTTATTTTATAAGAAACTTGATAATATAAATAAAATAATAAAAATATAAATAAAAATAAGAAATGTAATAATTGGTTTTTCATCTTATACCTGACATATATTACATATATGCCAGATTTTGAGGATCTGCCAGTTTTGGCAGATTGGACAGATTTTGAGAATCTGCCAATTTTAGCTGATTGGATGGATTTTGTGACAAAGTAAAAATCATGTGATCTATAAAGTAACATTTTAGTTTATTACAATATTATAAATTTTATTAAAAATAAAGCTAAAATAAATTATAAATATACAATTAAATTTGAAAATTACTATGATTAATTAATCATTACAAATACTATCATTATTACAAAATACTTTAATTGTCAAAAATTTCATCATCACCATGAATTTTATTATCATCACTAAAGCTCTGAATCAGATCAGGTCAACCTGTGACCCAACTCAACCTGACCTGAAAAATCCAGATCAGATAGACAAATTTTTAGGTCAACATCAGGTCGGGTCAAGCTTATGACCCAACCTGATAAAATTCAGGTCAACCAATCAAATTAAACGAAATAAAATATTTAAAAAAATTTTTTTTGTCTATTTTTTTTTTAAAACATTTTTAATTTTATTTAATATACTTTCTTTTTATATTCTAATAAAGTTGTTTGTATAATTACTTTGTAATTTATTATAATCAAAAAGTTAAATTTTAAATTATAAACATTTTTGCAATTACATTGCTCAACAATTTAATTTTAATTTTTTTTTATCTGTTCAATTACTTCAAAGAGATATTTGAGCAATTTGGTCAAAGAAAATCGACTTTTATTGTATAAGTAAAGTTGATTAGCTGGTTCAATAATATATGCATATAAAATTTATTATGATTGGATTAATGGTTATAAAGTTATGCACGTTTTTCGTAATTGTATTATCTCACAAATTTTTTTATTTTATTTTTTTATCTGTACAGTGACTTCAAAGAGCAATTTAAGTATTTTGGTCAAAGGAAATATCAACTTTGGTCACATAAGTAAAGTTGTTCAGCGGGTTCAAAAATATGTGCATATAAAATTTTATTATGATTGGATTAATACTTGTAAAGTTATGTACGTTTTTCGTATTTATATTATCTTACAAATTTTTTATTTTATTTTTTATCTGTACAGTAACTTTAAAGAGCAATTTAAGTACTATTGTCAAAGGAAATCAACTTTGGTCGCGTAAGTAAAGTTGTTCAGCGAGTTCGAAAATATGTGCATATAAATTTTATTATGATTAGATTAATGGTGTAAAGTTATACACGTTTTTTGTAATTGTATTATCTCACAAATTTTTTTTATTTTTATTTTTTATCCATACAGTAACTTCAAAGAGCAATTTAAGTATTTTGGTCAAAGAAAATCAACTTTGGTCGCATAAGTAAGGTTGTTCAGCAGATTCAATAATATATGCATAAAAAATTTTATTATTAATTGGATTAATGGTTATAAAGTTATGAACGTTTTTTGTAATTGTATTACAGTCACCAGATTTGCAGTTAAAAATAATTATATTAGTATCTTTTTTTTTTTGAAAAATAATCAAATGTAAAAATGTATCAATATTTTTTTATATTTTTTTAAAAAAATATTAAACAAAATTAATAATTGTTTATTTTTCTTTTTTAGACAGGTCAGGTCAGGTCAAGTCAGGTAGGGTCGGGTCAGGTCAGGTCAAATATATATTTAATTCAGGTCAATTTTATGTCTGACCTGACCTGACCTTATCAGGTCGAGTCAAGTCAATTACCTAATCTGACCTGACCTATTCAGAGCTCTAGTAATAAATAAAGAAATTAACTTTAAAAAATAATTACTTTTCTCATTTATATATTCATCATCTAAGATTTGATCATGAACTATTACACTAACTTGCTTTTGAGTTTGTCACTTAGAATAAATAAATTCTTTATGTTTCTCCTAAATCCCTAAATCTTTAAGTTTGTAAAGCCAAGCAAAATAATTCTAAGACATTCTGGATACTTGTAAAATATGAGATTCCCTAAAGTTATAAAGTCAGATAATAAGAAACTTACTTATTGCAGCAAAGTAACTTAGTAAAATATGTGTGATAAAAGAGAATTATTTCCAGTAACAATATGTAAGTATTATTTTATAATAGTGATTATAGCTGTTAAATGAAAGAAAAAATAGTATACTGTATCCAATTGATATACTTATTATATCTATTTTTTCAAAGTAGGAAGATTGTAAATGTTAAACAATTTTTTTTGATTCACATTTTATAATGAAAAATTTTTATTACTAATTAAATTTGTTTTTTTTTATTTTTTTCTATAAATTTATTGAAATTGAAAAAGAAGAAAAGACAAGTCTTATTATCAGTTAAAAATTTCAAATCTTATGATGAATATAAATAACAATTTATTAGTAAGAATATTTTATAAAAAGCTAAATATTTGTGATAATTTATAAATAAGCTTACTTTTGTATATTATCAGTATTATTATTTGATAATATCATAGTTCATATCCTGCTATACATATTTTCTATTCAGTAATCATTAAATTAAACTAAATATTTTTTTATTGCCATTTTCATCAAGTATTTATTTATTTATTTTCTAATAAAATATATCTGATAAAAATACAAGTAAAACTTTATTGTAATTTTTACGTTTCTAATGTAAAGCAAAGATTCAAATGAGAAATATAGTTTCTATATAATTGTTAAATGATCCAGATCGAAATAACAAAATATATGCGAACGTTTTCAGTAAAATCACATTACAGATCATATGATTTACTATGTCTCATAACTTGATTTTATTGAAAACGTTCCCATATATTAAAAGCTACTGAAATAAGATTGTTTAGAAGTTTTGTAATAATTTGATATTCTATATTTTTTTGCAGATAAGTAAATTTTTATGTTATATTTTTATTTATTTTATATAAAGAATACAAAGTTTAATAAAAGATTCATATTCTATGGTCTAGATTTTTTTGCAAAAATTTTTTAGTTTTCAAACATATTATGAAACAGGTTTTCAAAAAATAAATAATAAATTTTTATTATATATTCTCTTGTTTAAGAGAAATATATAATAATCTAAGAAATGAAATGAAAAATATTATTTCAGATTATACTAATAAATTATTTTTTCTATTCAATAGATATGTTAGTACTTTATGAATAAAAAGCTAGCTTGACCAATTTGCAATAATTGGAGTTATATTATTGGTAAGATGATTTACTTTTTTATTATCCCTTAAATCGTAGGGTTTTGCAGGTAAATTTGCCTGCTTATTTACTATAAATTCTCTTCTGATTTACTTTTATAAATAATTAATATTTTTTAAATTTTTTTTTTT